GTATGTCTTAACTTAGATTGACATGGGGATTTAAATTTTTACACAGTTTGCAAATATTAAGCTCTTTAAGTATTATAACACTGTTTTATCTTTCAGCTTCTTGGACCAAGTGTCAAGATTTCCCAAAGATCGCTCATTGAAGGGGCTTTTGAAGGATATGCTGTCCTTTTTGATGAATGGGTATCATGAGCTGTGGCCACTCCGCTTGATTTGGGACCCATCTCGACATTCAAAACTCTGTGCTGCAAGAGGTGCAACATTGCAGTGCTCACTGGGATTCACTGCAGGTACTTTACAAACCCCAGTCAGCACCTGGAACGTACCATTTCAAAATACAAATATTCACGTCGGAGTTGTGTAGCCCTCTCTTTTCATTTGGGCCCCTTAACTTTCACTTCTTCACTCACGCTCCCTTGTTTGGATATGGGACGTATACACACCGTGGCATTGTTTGAAAACATTTCTATTGAACCACAGCTTGCCCTTACAGCTTAACTACACCGGTTTTAGATTTATTATAAAAGGTATTCAAGCTTTTCATGGATTAGTGACGTCCCCTCTGAAGTAGTCGAAATTGTAGAAAGATTCTCTCAATAATTTTTCAGGTTGACATTTTGTTTGAGTTGGTTGTTGTTAATTTCCTTGTTTAGGTGAAGATTACAAGACACTTGGTGTTATTAGAACAATTATATTTAACATAGCCTTATGCTAGATGTGGCTTGCACAACCCTTTCCTCAACTACCCCTTTTCTGTAGGTATAATTTTTCTTATTGGCATTTTCAGGGCTCATGACATGTGGAGGTCTAATCATCCAAAGTCACCCTTCAAAAGGCAACAGTTTCAAAATCTCAGATTTATGCTGTCCGAACCCTGCCGAATGTTCATCTGAAGCTGTTTCGACGGAACCTCTTGAAACAGACGAGCAGCTTATCCTGAGCCGTCAAACACCCTCGTTGTCCTTACGTAAAACCCTCAAACAGGTTAGGTTTTCACCTGATCAAATCTTCAAAATTCAAAACGTCAAAGCAGAAGTTCCTCTCACACCCGGGCCAGTGCCAAAGAGTGGACCCAAGGATAGGAGGAAGTTACATGAGGAACACGCAAGTAAAAAATCTGTTATTTTTGATTTCACTCAAAATTTAAACAACCAATGTCACTCAAGTGCAATGGAAAGAGACCGAATACTCGAAAAGTCAGAGGAAAATGCTATGGGACTTTCAGATATCTGCTGTTCTGGAAATTTGGCCATCCGAGCAGATCTCGGAATTATGCTGATGGATATATTGGACAGCTGGCCTCAAGGCACTTCTTTACATGTGTATGTGGTACCTCCAGAGAGCCCTATCTCAGAGGCTCCATACGTGATCTATTTGTTAAGACAACTCACACCCTCAAAGGTTAAGGACAACGATGTAGCTGTACTTCTCAGAGACCGAAGCACAGACCTCATTGAGGAGTGCCATGGTGTCAATGACTGCTTGTCTATGATGTCATCATTCATCGAAGACTTATTTGTAACCCACAAGGTTAGATTGTTTGCCATAAAGGCATCCTTGGATCATGGGCTACTTTCTATCTTGGAATGGGAACCTCTTTTGCTGAAAAAAGAAATGTTGTCGTCAAAAAGAATGGAAAAAACAATCTCATCCGAAGACTCAAAGAATCATAGTGTGTGCAGTATGAATGATGAAGAGGAATCTAAATCATGTGTGCTAGGAGATGGCGAAACATTCCACGTCTGTGGGATGCAATACCTGACTCAGCTATGGAGGAAGAACACCATTTTCTCTTTAGAACTAGATGATATGTTTGTCAAGACTCTCACAAAACTGACAACAATAAACAATCACATCGTCGGCTTTGTTGTCCCCCAAACCTGTAGGGATTTGGACCAGAGTTGTGACAGAGAACACAACGAAAATACCATTTTCCCAACATCCACGGAAAGATCTCGTGATGATTCCAGGATTTTTGCCAGGCTGAGGTCTGCCTCAGACAATATGTTTGATTTACCAAATGGCAAGCTAGCCTCTGAAATTCACTTGACAAAAACTAAATCCACCAGCTTTGATGAAGATGACATATTTGAAAAAATGACAAACTCATCCTCAGATTTTCCCCTCTTTCTTATGTCTGTCAGAAACAAAGGTAGAGGTGGAAAAAAGTCGGGAAGAAAGAAAATCCTCAGTTATTTATACTGCAAAAACCCAAAGGAAATTCTGTCTTTCAAAAATCTTGATGAAATGGTATCTTGCCTGAGCCAGAGATTTCCAGGAATCAAAGCGACACATGATGTTCTCTTCTCCCAACTTACTAGAGAGACTGATAACTTTGATGAGCTACTGTACCATTTCTGGGAATCGGACAAATGCAGAGATTTTTCTTCTTCTTCCCTAAGTAGCTCTTCCATATATTGGTCAATGGAAAATGGAAGCCCTTTTGAAGAAGTAATGACACCTCAGTTCAAAGACTGTCCTTCCGTCACAGTGACGCCGCCAAAGGAAGCGGCCACTTTTGAGTGCCCCGAAACTGTATGGGATGGCAGTGTCAGAGTTGCTCATGTAGTGGATGGCTCCTCCTGTTTCCAAGGTTTGAATGTGCCTGATAAAGAGAATCGGAGAAAAGCTTGCTGGCCTGCTTCAGAGACAACTGATAACACCTCTAAAACTGGTACACCATATCTCTCCAAACAAAATAATACTGATATCAAAATTATTAACACAAAGGACGAATGCAGTGTACCTGAGATCTCAAAATCCAAAGGACTGGAATACTCTGAAGTAATCAATTCTGACTACCCTGAAGCCGTTCCACAAATATCTTGCAAGAATGGGAGTGTTCCCCATACCCCATTGTTTGGTGTTTTGGATGCCTGCAATAGAACTGTATCTGATACAGCTGAGAGTCATGCAAATTACAGTTCTGAAGTAAACAATCACGTTTACTCTAAAAACATCACTCCCAACACTTCTGAGAATAATTCAAAGGACACTATCGATGTCATCGCTGAAACGTCTACGGATATCTTGGGTATATCAGACACAGAAAGTAAAAGCACTTCTTCAGACAGTGCATTCAGTACCCCAGAAATGCAGAAACAGTCAGGCAATGAAAATGAACAAAATTCCAAAATCATAGAGTATGAAACTCAACACTTTGAATATAATAAAACCACCAAAGAACCCTGCTGGACGATGTCTCCTGATTCTACAGAAAAATCGACGTCTTCTGGGAATGCATGTAATGGCTCCGATGTTGGTGCTTTGAATATCAGAAGAAATGATACCTCTCCAGTTATTGTACCCTTTACTTCTGTGTGCAGTGCTATGGATATCTTGAACAACAAGGCAACTGATGCTTCAAATGTTGGTGAGGATAAGGCATTCATTTCCAGTGTGAATGATATTGGGATAATTAAAATATATGATGAAAGTAACTGCAAAACACCCACTTCCTCTCAAGTGAAAACAAAGACCAGTGCTACTGTACAAACAATAGAGAATCCTGCAGAACATGCAGTTTCAAACTGTTTCTTCTGTGAAAGCAGCCGTGAAAAAAAAGATTACTCACTCCCCTTCACTGACAACTTTGAACATTCAAACCCACTTGCATCAGCTTCTTCGACTGTTACAAGCTATAAACAGGTGCCTGATCCTTCTTTAATTCAGAATCAATCAGCCACCGGTTTAAGTATTCTTCAAAATCAGCCTGCAAGTGATAATTTGGAAACACAAGATAACTCTGAATCGGAACCTTCAACACGTCTTGCTTCATCTGAGAACATCGAAAAGGAGAACTCTAAGACGACTCTGTGTTTCGCTCCAGTATTTCTACCTAGTAAAGATGACAAGAGTAACTCTGGAACTCTGCCGAAGTCATCAAAAGAATTTAGAAACGAAGAAGAACAGCCCAATGTTAATTCATTGAAACATTCTTCTGCGCCAGGTACTGCAGGGGGTCAAAACATTGCAACTTTTGATAATGCATGTTTTCTTTCAACCATTGCTTACGAAAGCAGTGAGGACAAACATAGTCAACAACTGATCTCAAGTGTCCGCATCGCTCTCATTGTCCAGCTGTATGACCGTACAGGTCCGGAAGATCCTGTGAACAAGAAAGCCATGGGTCATCTATTGCTCTACCTGACGGAATGTGAAAAGGAGCAAGGGGGTGATGCTTACCTGGGATTAGTGCTGGTGGATAATGGTGAGTTAATACACGTTGGGCTACAGCAGTCTTTTGAAACGAGAGACTGTTGGCTGCTTACATAATATTAATTTTGGTTCCCTTGACTAATCGACCTGTTTATGGAAATCGCAACATTGCACGTATCAGTTCTAACAATTAATTTTCCTTTAACGTGTTTGCTTAAAGCATGTCTTACCACTATTGCCAAACAGAAACAGACTCCAGATTCTAACTTTGAAAGGCAAGTGAAGTGTTGTCAAAATTTTGGGATTGTTGGAGCCTCAAAAAGGTAAATTAATACCAATTGTGAGTCTGCTAATTAGTACAAAGAAAGCCGAATTAAGCCAGACGAAAGAACTCACAACTAATTGATTTGAGCATCAGTGTTCAACACGGAAATGTACCGGTACCAAAAAAATATTGTCGAGTAAAATTTCCAGCAACATTTCTAGTAATTGTGAATCCCCCTCAGTGGTCCATTCTCTTTGATTCGGTGGCCCATAATGCGATGTCCTTATTTTAGTTACACATAAACAAATTATAAATATAGATCTCGCTTTTATGAAAAGTGAAACAATTCCAAAACATTATGTACTCCAGTCTTACTGCCCCACCTCTTAAATGTTCTGAACTGTTTCAACGGGTTCGTAAAGCAAGGACATCTGCCATTCTTGGCTTACTGTTAATTCTAGAATTGTTAGTGCTCGTATTAGGATGTGGTTTTAACATTTCCCCTATTTTATTCAAAAGCATCATGTCAAATTCTAGAGTAAGGCTGCACTTACCACACTTTTTTGCCGAACTTGTTTAAATCTTCGCTCTCCCTAGGCAAGCCATCTATCCACTCCCGGTTCCGTGTGAACAAGCATTTCAGCCTCTCCCACCTTGAGAATGTCCTGAATGTGATATTTGCTCTTCACATCCTGAGGGATCTAGGCCGACTTAACAGTAGAAATATCAGCAAAAAGACGGTGCTCGTCCAACCTCCTTTATGTAAGTTTCGCAACAAACTATTAAAACTAAAGTCTTTATTTGTAAAGGAAAAACTGATTGATGAGCATATCTTGAAATGTTGTGCAAAATATGATCCTGTATAAGATGAACATACAGTTAATGTATATTAATGTAAGTTTAATTGGCATTGCTTACTATTTTTTAAAGACCAGAAAGCGCTAAGGGAAAGTTAGTTTTCAATTCTTTCTTTTTTTTTTTTGGGGGGGGGGAGGCATTTTAGAATGTTAGGAACTTGATATGCTTTATAATGTTTCCTAGATCTAGCTAACGTTCTTAAGACAAACCAATTTTTTAAAGTCTAGAGTATGCACCCCGAAACTTATATTCATATTATAATATGTACATTCAAGACCAATACGAGAAAGAAAAGCACAATTTCGATTTCTCTCTTCAGTTTACTTTGTTCTTGTTGCAACTCGCTACTTCTTAGGATAGTGACGTGTTTATGGATATCTTAGAGCCAAAGACAACACAACGCTACCGAGTATAAGTATTACGATTTGTCTTAAGGTAAAAGCCCTCTTCGTTGGGATCAATAGGTATCCACCATTCTTGTTACACCGCTACACATGCATTGAGTCTGCACAAGGGTCCGGTCTTCTGTACCCCCAAAATCATTATTGATTTCGATATACACCTCCCTTCCCCCTAATGACATGTCAACTCTTTTTTATCATAGTTAGTTATGAAGATGCGATTTCGGGTATTTTCACTAAGTCATTGTTTGTGCTGGACCAAACTGCCCTGGTTTTTAAATGAGCAGTAGTGTATTAATTAGTGTATAACGCAAAACCTGACTGAGCCAACCCACTAGTTTTTTTTTTCTCTTTTTATTTTTGGTGCACAGACAAGGACTCTGGTGTCATGCTGCTGGTAGCTCACCACCTGGGCTGTAAGTTTGTGATTTCTGCGTCAAACCTAACTTTTGTTATTGAGGAACTGCGGACTTTAATGCCACGATGTATTATGTTGCGGGACTCTGTCAGCAGCCATAACGTACGTCCGCTCACAGACGGGCAAGGATGTGACGTAGTCATCATGTTCCAGCCTCGTCATGGTAAGAAACATTCTGTATTTCGGCTTTTACTTTTATGGCATGATAACCTCCCTCCATGTTAAATTTCTTCTTTTAAAATATATTTTGGCTTACTTTTCTCCTACCATTACACTTCAATGGTCTACTTTTGACAAATGTACGCACTTTCAATAAGCATCAGGTTCTTGAACATCGCTCTTTTCTAGTTGTGTAATCATATTGAACACAAAGCCCATCGACGCCAGTGTCAATAGACGTGTAACTTTTGTGAGACTGAAAGACATGCAAACCCTGAGCCAAGGAGAACCCTTTAAACATATCGGTGTGTAGATAAATTATATGTGTGTTTCTTCAAACTCGCACCCGATGCTGTGTTCTTAGACTTCCTGTAGTCATATTATAACTATGAAGCAAGCCCTTGGTCGAGAAGAGGTGTAAATTCAACCTCGTGCAGTGCATTTGGTAAGATGGCTTGGTACACAGACTCTTAGCCCAGGACAAGTCAAATTGTGATTATTGTGCCCCTAACGTCCCAGGAAAGCTTAATAGATTGGAGTTTACTTTGTAGTATTGAAATAGGCTTCAGCACACTATGGGCTGAAACAGAAATCAAATTGCCTGATCTCCCTTGATACATTATGTACTCTTTCTTTGGTCCATAGCTCATGTGTCCAAATGCAACCGTTATCTCGTTTTTATCAACAGTGTTTTGCTTCAGCTGAACTAGCGTCTATCTGAACCCCCATCAAGTCCTGTCAAGAGAACCTTATGAGTATCATAAGATGTATACAGAGCTGTTTAAATCTAAGATTTTTTTGTGCTCACTAAACTTCTTGATCAATATTTTGTCGACAGAGCTCTTTGAATTCCTGAGTTTAGTAAAGACTAGTGGGTCCGTGGTGCTCTGTGGCAATGTGGATTCTGAACGAGACATCGGTTTGAGTGTGTTCCTACGCAACATTTCCTTACACTGCGTTGACGCGAAGCACGTGGTCCAACAAACCATGACCATGTCCCCTGAAAAGCACGCAGAGTTCGAGAATCTGATGGAAGATACCATGAGCTCTCTCAATGACACTGTAAGTTTGCTGATTTGTAAGCGGTTATTAAATTGGGTAATACTTATGATGCCACCTGATTTTTACAAGATGCGGTATGATAGATAAAAACCTAGCTATAAACATAATGACCTGAGAAAATGCCAGTTTGGCTCTGCATAGCAAGTATAATGATTGCCCCAAATCAACCCCTCCCCTTGGGTTTTTATCGAATGCTACTTGGTAGTTGATTTAGGGCAGTGGGAAAAGGGAGAGAGAGAGAGAGAGAGAGAGAGAGAGAGAGAGAGAGAGAGAGTGTGTGTGTGTGGTATCTTTGACAATCATAAAGCTGCGATACACAATTGAGGATGAGATAAGTACCACTCTCACTCATTGATAATTGTAATGGAGTCGGTGGGGCTTCACAAGTCCTTGATAATAATATTATGCTATTACGTTCACAAAGTAAAACACATATAGCTTTGTATGTTCATTTTGAACAAGGATACTATACATTTCGAGCATATTTATTATGTATTATTTGCTCTTGGGACCATATCGTTTATTCACGCCGAATTTCCCTTGGTACGTATATGTTGCTGAGCCTGACTAATCACCCAAGCCTGATCTTGCAGACCTGACTAGTTGAGTAAGTGTACCTCCCACTTAAAGTTTTGAATGATGAAGTTTTGTTTGTAACAGTTTTAGAGAATTTCCGACTAGCTTCTTCACAGGGTATTTATCTCAAGCATGGCTGAAAGACACTTTAGAATTTTGACGCGAGTAGGTGGAACGTCTCACTTTTAGGTCCTATTTTAATCTCCCTCTCTGTTATTAGCTTCTGTCTGTTTTATTTTTCATTTTACTTTCAAAGACCTATGATGTGTTAATATATTTCCTGAACCCCTACAAAAGCAAATAATTCGAACAGTTTTCACACGATGAAGTTCAGCTAAATGTCTTTCTCATTTGCATTCATATAATCTTCATGCCTCTATTAACAGATCTCCAATTTATACCCGTCTGGAGTGGAAGGTTATTTCTATAGAGTATTGGGCAAGGTTCTTGAGTTGAGCCCAGACCACAGACCCAGTGAAAAAGATCTCCTGAATTCTCTGTTTGTTGGACCAGAGACTGCGAGTCACGAGTATGGGAACTGTTTATCTGTCCAAACTTCAGTGGTTTGCTATATTGCTGAAAGATTGCTCACACCAGCCCCTGTCTCCAGCAGCGTCATTCCTTCTGTGTTTGTAAGTAGAATAACATATCATTTCTATTATTTGGTTGCTCAAGGTCATTGTGCCTTTTCTCCATGACGTTTTTGCTAAAACATAAGGCGACGTAAAACTTGCAGGTAAAGAAGTTTTGTTAGACATTGTTCTATTCTCAAATTCTTGCTGCATGCTTTAAAACTAGAAAATGTTTTATTTTTACTATACTTCTTTCTTTCTTTCTTTTTTCGGAAGGGATTTGAGGGGAGGGGGGGGCAACTCTCAATAATTGGACCACGCACACTGCTTGCAAAACTACTTACGAGCTTTCATGAGGTGGGGAAGAGAATACAATATGAGCTTTAGACTTTCAATAGTTTTCTATTGTAAACAGGATCACCCTCTTGTGGGAGAGGTTTGCTTTTTCTTCATGTGGATGAGACTCATATAACTACTGAAAGTGGGGAGCTTGGATTAAAAAACAAAGCAAAACAAAACAAAACGACAAAACAACACATAAAAACAAACAAACAAAGCATGTTTGACATTAACGTTTGACAAAGGTTGTTAGATGATCTCATATCTTTTTCCCTAGTGTCTCTCATTGTAAGACAAATCTTGTTTGCTATTGACTGGAATGTCTCTCCGTTGTTCAACATTGTAGGCCTAGTATTTCAAAATTACGATAGGAAAGAAATTAACATCAAGTATGTTGCAGAGTTTCACAAAGCACATCGAATCACCCTGGCCTCATTTTGCTTCTTGTAAGAGTAACGGCTTTAGACGAATGAAACATCTTGTAATAAGACAGTGTCTCCAGCAAAATTAAACAGTTTAACTGCTTGTTATAATAATCTCCTATTTTGAAATGCTACAATGCTGAATAACAAAGACATATTTTGCCAGAGTACGAATCCAATTATCAATTTTCAAAATATGACTTTTTAAACTGATTGTTTTCCTCTTGCTTCCACGGACCAATATGTCAGTACGTATATTATAATTACGAAACTTACTTTGATATCTGATTAGTTTTATGAGTGATGTACGTCTTTTATTTCTTTATTAAGTCTCCCGAAACAGCAGATGTCAGTTCAAGCCATTCTACACCTGGTCCTGCAAATCTAATGGAAATGGCATAGGAAAGCTGACAGAAAACGTCTTCATAGCAAAAGTCACAGGGTACAGTACAAGCAAGCGTTAACTACTTCTTAACTATTAATTTATAGGAACTTTATAACAGCGAGGCTATTAGCTTGTGATGCTTTCGATTTCAGTGCGGTATTTTGGGGTTAATTAGAACAAGACTTTTCTATTTAGCCCCTTGGGGGCATGGTATGAGAACTAACCGACAATTGAGGACGGGGTTTGAACTCCTTTCTTCTTTGTTCTTATACTTATACCGTACTACTTTAATCCTACTCAGTTGCTTCCATTTCTGGATTTGAAGTTCAGATAGTTATTAGTTTAATGTCTGTCTCTTTCTTCTTCCTCTCTCTCTCTCTCTCTCTCTCTCTCTCTCTCTCTCTCTCTCTCTCTCTCTCTCTCTCTCTCTCTCTCTCTCTCTCTCTCTCCCTTCTTTGTCTGTCTGTCAGTCTGTTTCTACCTCGTTCTGTCTTCCTCCATCCTCTCTCTCTCTCTCTCTCTCTCTCTCTCTCTCTCTCTCTCTCTCTCTCTCTCTCTTTCTCTCTCTTTCTCTCTCTCCCCCCCTCTCTCTCTCTCTCTCTCTCTTTCTCTCTCTTTCTCTCTCTCCCTCTCTCTCTCTCTCTCTCTCTCTCTTTCTCTCTCTTTCTCTCTCTCTCTTTCTTTCTCTCTCTGTCGTTTTATTTCTCTCTCTGTCTTCCCTTTAACCTTCTTTCGTTTTCACACGCATGCACGCACGCACGCACGCACGCATGCACTCACGCACGCAAGCACAAAACACTCTCTCACTCACAGACACACATACACAAACACACACGCACACACACACAAACACATAGAATTCCATATTAGACTGTCATCAAGACGTCTGGCTTGCAATCATAGAGTCCCACCCACAAATACATATACCAACATGATGCTGCCGACAAATAAAAGAAACTCAATTCTGTCTCTAAGGATACCGTATAACTAACTCTTTTATTTACCTATTTAGTTTGTTACTGGTTGATTTTTATTTATTCAGAACTGTTCCTCTGTCATCATGACATATGAATGAAAAATCATCTAATGTTTTTCCTTTTCATTTCTCTGCTGATGCCCAGATTCACGTTGAAGTTAAAGGGCAAACACCCAACTCGTCGAACTTGTCTTTTTTCCACATGGAACATGCTGAATGCCTTCCCCTGGAACAATCGTCTGTGTTTCGTGAACTGAGTCAAGATATCAACTATAATTGTTCTAAACACTGTGACTGAGTCAGATCACCCTTGGTTTGATAATCATAATACCATGATTATGTCATGTGTGTTTATTTTGGAGAAGACTGTTAATGGTCTAATGGGTATCTGTTCTCAGAAATAAATTTTCTCAGGAAATTATCTAATAATGTCCTATTGTTGTGTGTTTGTTCTTCCAATTCCTGGAGCGCTAGTTCCAGTGAAGGAGACATCGGTTTTTACCTTTTCAACCAAGACTCACAACCATAAATCCATGAGTTCAAATCCAGTCAGGCATCCAAAGTTTTGTCCTTGGGAAAGGCAGTTTACACGAATTTTTCTCACTTCACCCAGGTGGAAATGGGTACCCGGCTATAACCAGTGGAAGATCTAGTCAGTTTGCTATTTTTTGAGCGCATAAAACCCTCAGCTTGTAGTGTATGTGTCCTAGGAAACCAATAATGTTTCTGAGTGTTATAGGGTCTGTGCTGGGGTAATAGTACGTGTAAAGCGCATAGATTATGTCGGAGAGCACGGATATGCCTTATATTAATGCAATTATTATAATAATATTATTATTAGTTCTAGGCGACTCTGGCCCCGATCTCCAAAACTACCATCAAGTACTGACAGGTCAGAAAAACTTGTTGACTACATTCACTGAGGGCATACATTTCCTGTCTTCAAGAACCGTTGTTTAAATGACCAACACGATGAAGAGATTACTGAAGTTAGATAATATGGACTGTAACATGTTAATATATCATTTTTCGCTGTCTTCTTTTAGATAGACTTGAATTATGGGGTTGCCAACTCGGGCGTTAACTAAACTTGCAATATACTAGAGTGTAACACTCCAATCTAAAAAGGGTCAAATTCGTTCTTTTCTTATTTGAAATGTATCTTTTCAGCCCGATATAAAGTAAGAGCCTCGAAAATAACATGTTTGTATCCAATTGGGGTGCTTTTCTGGATTAAAAAGAAATATGAACAAGCTGGGGGGGGGGGGGGGGGGGGTTAGAACAGCCGGTTTTTTTTCTTTGATGTGTTGAATGTCCCTGGATGTGCATGTTACAAAACGGTATTCCCTTCTTTTGATTTTCCACCTTCTCCTTGTATGCTAGCTTTGTACTCAGTGTAAGAAATCACATGGTATGAGTTACATTTAGTTAGCTATGTGGTTTTTTACGAGCTTGAAGTTGGGTTCTTATCGTTGTTCTTGTTTTCTTTTTTACAATGTCACTTGTATAATGAGACCCTATAGTGGGCTATTGACTTGCTCTTTAAGTGTTTATTCAATGCCTACCAATGATCTCCCAAGTTGTGAAGGTAATTTCTATAAAATGTTAAGTGTGCTATGAAGAATCTGGAATCTGGAGGTGTATCTCTGGTTCAGAGGTTGACGTGCAGTCACCCGCCAATGCTTACGGTTGCTAGCTGTCGTTATTGACTCTGTTATACTTAGGCCTGTCAATGCCTTGGCGTTATTGGTCTACGTTGTTCTTTGTCCACCCCTAGCACTTTTCTCCCACGTCTTACCTTGTAGGTGGTTGGCGGGTGCTCTGGTGTGATTTGCTCCTTTTTTCTTATCAAATATCTATTGACCTTATCTCTCCTCCTCCTTTTTTGTGTTACTATATTGTAACACATCTATTCTTCGGCACTTGTATGACCTTATTGTGTCGCAAGTGCCGTAAAACTCTTACTAAAACTAAACATCTTACCTGCAAGTATTTCTTTCGTAATGATCTGGTGGTGTTTTATATGACGAAAGTATTGTATTTTTCTGCTTTTCATTCTTTAGTTGGTTTTGTCTTGTGTGAAGAATAGTTAATGAATTAAATAAAGTGTCCATGACAAACAGATTTGCCTACGAATTTGTAAATGAAATCTATATGAAGGATCTTATGAGAAAGCATGCAATAACGTTTGTTCAGGGAAAAGTGCACACCCAAAAGCATCTGTCGTTTAGTCCATTCTTTCACATGTGCGCGAGTTACCTTCAACTCTAAGCATCAAATCTGGTCTACTAAATTAATGCAAGTTAATGCCACCTTTCTCTTTCCTCATGGCACTGTTTTAAGTCATCCACTCCCCGGTGTGCACGAATTACTTAAGTCTACATTGAATTCTCTTTTTTATTTCCATTGTGCGGGCCATTCCAAGGTCGTGTGTATTTATATGTTTATGCCTTTTGTGTTTGTTTCACTCCAAGATTTATATGTAGTTTGAAGAAGCAAACATGTAAGACCACGTGTGGAAAAGATTGACATTTTGTCCTATTAATTTGTTATGGAGATAATCTCTCACGATTGTAACTTGATTTTCCAGTTTTCAAAATTGTATCTGTGTTTGACCTCGTTAGTTTGACATGTCATAAGATATGGTTTTGCATTTTTGAGTGCCCTACACTTGTTCAATATTATCACGCTTCCTGAATTTTTAGTTGAGTATTTGAGAAACACAATATCTTTGTAGATTCTTATCAGTTTCTTTTGACGTAGTTTGATATTATATTATGACGTACATTGTTCTGCTGGAATTTTCTGTATTTCAACAGTTTTATATGCACACTGGAAATGATCCAGTTACCTGTGAGTCAACAATCATTTATGTACGCTTGATGTTATGGTTCAGCCAAATTTGAGGAGCTTTAGAAAAGTGAACACTTCTGTATGCTTATAACACAGATCTCATCGTCTGGCTAGTTAGGTTTTTCGAAAACAACATCTGACGTTCGCATTCAAGTGTAATCCGAAGGTCATTGACTTTTTCTTTAGAAAACCTTCTTTGGCGTGTGTTCAGCTGAGAAAGACAATGTCTTGCTTTCAAAATCACTCAGATTCTGTCTTTCAAACTACCTGTATCAGTTCATAATATAATTGTTATCTTGGTTTGTATATTTTTGTTACGGCATAGTTTTCATGATATTATATTATTATTTTTGTTATTTACTCTTTACACCAATTATCTATGTCAAACGATCATATTTAAATGTTTGATTGAATAAAATCACTATTTAGTAATAACTGTTTTGATTTGTGATTATATCACATTACCCAAACCATATTTCCCCACATAGATGTTGGACTGACTGTTTTGAAAGGGTGGGGACGTGTATTTATGGCAGAAAAAGAAAGGGTATCATAGGCGCGGTACTGATTAGAGTACAATTGGTGCTTTGGAAAGTAGTCAAACCTTTCTCAAAACGTCCTCATTGTCTTCATTTTTAGAGTTACACATTTTCCTCGAGGTTCTTGACACCTACCACTACCATCGACGATAATCCTTTTAGAGAGAGAAAGTGGGTGGTTGGCTGGTGCTCTGGTGTGGTTTGCTTCTTCTTATCTATGAAACATATATCGTCCTTATCTCCACTTCTTCGTTTTTGTGTTTGTTACTATCTTGTAACACCTCTAATCTTCTGGTGCTCATGACATAATGCAGTTGCGAGCGCCGTAAAACCTCTACTAAAACTAAACTAAGAGAGAGAAACTTCAGATATGCTAAAGCCTAGAGCGAACCTCCCAAGCTGTGCACATCTGTGGAGTGGTACAATGCTTCTAAATGCTCAACTGACGAACTCTTCTCTACTAGAATTAGTCTCTTTGGCCGTAACAGAAACCGCAAGTCATCTTACCCCTTATGTCTAGTCTACTATTTAGCATAAGAAATACATGCGCAATCCTTTTCAGATGCTTTGTTCATCGTCATACACTGACGGACGAACTATTATCATTACTTCAGAATATAAACTAATTGATATCACCAGCACGGGTTAGGCTACGTTTATAGCATCATCCATCAATACAAATGTTACGGAAGCAGGACCACAGGTAACAGGAAAGAGCCAGTGTCCGATAGTCTTGATAAACTTCTCATTTTAGGGGTCTAACTCCACCCATGTCCTCCTGGCAACCAGATACAAGTTTTACGCCAGCCTGTCCCTAAAGTAGGTATAGACAGAGTAGAGTCACCTTTCTGGAGCTAGCCCCAAGCCTCTCCACTCCCCTTTAGGGGAGAGCAAGGGGAGAGGAAAGTCGGCGACAGAGTGAAGGCCTCTCACCTCCCCCGACGTCCTCTATTAAGGGGTGACATCTTCACTCTTTTGAATCAGTGTTTGTGATTTTTGTTCTATTTCACCAATGTAAAAATATTTTCGAGGCTGGACGAGCCCTGTCTGAGCAAGATGGACGAAGAAATATTTCAGGGGATGGTTTTATATTGAGAAAACGAAGGCTGAACAGACGTGTTACTGGATTCACAAAATATACTAACGTCGTAGTAAATATGGTGAATATCATCATTTAATGGAGCAAGCCTTTTTGTATCGTGTGCAAGTGAGTACACACACCGAGTGGGGGGTTTTGGGTGACTGAAGGTGCGAGAAATTTTAGTGCTGCGTTAAAATTCAGTCACTGACCTTTTTGGGGGCTTGGAGGGGACTAGCCTCAAAAAGAGGTTGGTGGCTCTACTCTGTCGCTTGCAACGCTTTTCCTGTAAATCAAACCTGCCGCTCCCCAAATTGGGCCCAGGCGAGAAAAAGGTGCTGGAAGGTGACTCCACTCCGCACGTTAAGGCTAGGTGTCCACAACTTAGGCTCCTCATCTTAAAATGTTGGTATAGAAACGTGCAGGTCGTCTTTACCCATACTTTCTATGCAAAATGGCGCTGACATGAAAACGCACAATCTGTCTTTAGCAGTGGTAAAAAGGAAATATCTCTCCAATTATCGTCGTTATTGGAATCATCCAAAATGTCGTCACCTCACCAGACCAGGAGAATTTCGTACCCTACCCAAGATAGTCTACGATGAAGAAAAATGCATAGACTATCTTCCGAGGTGAGCTTATCTATCGTTATCTACGGATGAAGAAAGCTACATTTGATTTTCTTCTGACGACGTGCTTTTCTGGATTAAAAAGAAATATGAACAAGCCCTGGCTTAACTGTTTTTTTTCCCTTGGTCATTAATCCCATCAACATCATCATCATCATCATCATCACCGTCACAGTCACTGTCACCGTCACCGCCAACAGCAGCATCAGCAGCAGAAGCAGCAGCAGAAGCAGCAGCAGTAATATCCATACCATTAGTCACACTCTTTATCTTTAAAAACCCAGTTAACAATTGATGAATATAGCGATAGGCTAACGAGAACAGCATGTACTGATTTCAGAGTAGTATGATGAGCCACACTGTATCAATATAACACACCCGGCTTTCCGCACAACCCGTAAAGCGTTCGGCATGTTTGATGCACAAAAGTGAGGAGCGGTGAGGAGCTGAGCGGAGCGGAGGCTGTGGACAAGCGCTCTTAGTCTTCGTTTGTATATCCTATGACTATCCCGAGCGTCCGTGTGTAAAAGTCAGGTTCCGCAGCTTTTTTTGCTCAACAAAGACAGGATTTCACGCGTGTTTAATAGGTGCCCTGGTGCGGTTTGTTCCTCTTTTACTCTCAAATATCTATTATTCGTTGCGAGCCCCGTAAAACCTCCACTAAAAGAAAACAAACAATATCTATCATTCCTGTCTACTTCTTTTTTTCCTTGTCCGTGACTCTCTAGTGAAACCTCTAATCTTCGGCGCTTATATAACCTTATTGTGTTGTCTGTGCCGTAAAACTTGTATTTATACAAAATGACTCGCGTGCCGGGAAATCAATTTTATAAGATCACCTCCTTCCTTCTGTTTTCCACTCGGCCCAGGTAAGCCCTGTTAGGTAGTATCAACATAGCTGGTCACCAGTGAGCCAGATTGTCTTAGTAAAAGCATGATAGTGCGTACTGTATTCTTACAGCACCCAAGCTCAAACTGACTCCACGGCCTTAAGTTTTGAACTGATAAACCCCACAGTACAACACTCTCCAGTTTGGATCTCATTTAGGCCCCCTACACATATACGTTCCAAACTGCCGATTCGGAATGGAAAGGCAAACCTGGAGGCGGAACGGCATAATAATATGTGGACGAAAAAATTCAAGAAAAAAAGTTAAACCGGAAGGCCGAACCGGCAGTTTCAACTTGTGGATTTTCTGACTACAGTTCAGCGCGTTCCGTCGACAACAGCCTTTGTGTGACGTCGCGGGCTTAGCGGTAGCCGGCTTATCTTGTCACTGCCAATATCTTCAAAATGATTTACCGAACATAAAATCTGATTACATGTTTTAGACGAGCGATCCATTTTTATGGCAAAATCCGAGCAGAATTTATGTTTTTTCAATGATTAAAGAGAAAACAAAATTCTTCTTCACAAGCAGCACATAAATTGCAAGCAAATGGTCATTGTCAGTACACTCGCTGCAGTTAAACCATGCGTGATGTCTATGACGCGCCGACCCATCGAATGGCGGTTTTGCGCGACAGTTCAAACCCCGGTTTCCATTCAGGTTAAAACCGCCTGGTACAAGTGTATGACCCCTTAGGAGCATGCAGTCTTTCCAGTTCGAACATTATAATTCGATGCAGGAACGGCATAATGGAAGCAATAATTATTATGAGTGAGGTCCTTTCGCTGGTCAAGAGCCTTAATGTGGAAACTCCAAAATGTTGAAAATAGGGTTGTTACTTTCTTTTAAAAAACAAAGAGCCATTCTTTACCGCAAAATTAATGTAAATCCCAAATTCGAGTCGTAAAGCTGAGTTTTGTAAAGCAAAATTGTCCATCACCGTTGTGAGCAAAATTGTGGTATGTCACATTATTTTCTTGCTTTTTTATTGAAATGAAAAATCGATCCTTGCTTTCACAATCATCTATCAAGTATAGCCTCTTCTTATAAATCTAGATCACTCGTCATGCCCTTCTTTATATATCCCCCCTCCCCCCCGGGGTAGTGCCACTGGCTGTAGTGTCTTTAGGTCATTCCCAAAGGGGGGACATTTCTCGTTCAAGCACAGTAAAATTGTAATGGGCTGATTCATGTCACGCTCATAACTGTGCCTGATCTACAACAGGGAACTGCTGCTTTTTCTTTCCTGATCCTTGCTATTGTCATTTTCCTCTACTTCTTTTGTATGTTTGTCACTCTCTTGTGGCCTGCTATTTTGGGGTGCCTTGATAGTCGAAGCAGACTTTGTGCTGTTGAAGCTAGAGAGGTGATCAGAGTAAATCTGATTCCCTGTAAAGACTTCTCTGTTGACACTCACCCCTTGGCGCTCATATGACCTTATGCAGTTGCGAGCGCCGTAAAACCCTCAACTATATAATATAATTTTCTTTATATAATAATAATTTTGTTTAATATGAATTAGAGAAAATGTTAATTTTGAATTTTTAAAATATCTGCACTTTTGAGTCGCTTGATGCGAAATTTCTCAAACTGATGATTTTGGAGTTACAGCATTATTGCTCTAGGCCAGCCGTTTGTTCTTTTGAGTTCAAAGATTATAATGTTTCAGTGAACGTTAAAAGATTATTTACAGATCCATGTACGGCAGACGTTTGCTGTTTGCTTGCGCAAGTTTGTTATACTCATTCGCACACACACACACACACACACACACACACACACACACACACACACACACACACACACACACACACGGCGCCCGCGCGCAAACACACAAACACACACATAAGCAAATAAACAAGCATGATGCACACAAATTATACACCCAAGCAAACAACGGGATTTATTGCAGACCTGGCAAGCCAATATTCAGGGACTTCACCAAACCACCAAGAGACTGCTGCAGGAGCTGTTGGATGTTGGAGATGATAGACTGACCGGCGCAGATGGCAGGGCAGGAAGACACACAGAGAGTGATCTGGGACTTGCAGAGGATGCCGAGGACCGGGTTGCCAGCACCCATTTGGCACTGACTAAGGAGGCTTTGACAGTTGGCAGTGCATCCTTCGAAACAATCGCAGGACGAGTCACACTGGGCACTGCAAGCTGCAACGTTGGACGCACAGGTGACCACTGGGGGTACGTCCACACATCCTTTGGCGATAGTGTCGCAGAAAAACTGGCACCCGGCTCTGCAGTTTTGCCCTTGTCCAGCTGGAGCGGGATCTTGGGCCATGGAGAAGCCAGCAAGGAGAACTATGGCGAGAGCCACTGTTGGAGCTGAGGGGGAAAGAAGGTTATTTTTGTTTGTTTTGATAAGTATTTTACGGCAGTCGCAACTGCACATGGTTAAATGAGCGTGCAGGACACATTAAGAATGTTACAGTGTGGTAGGAATCAATTTTGAATTTTGTCTAGGTGGCGGCCGAAGCCTAGTTTTATCGATTTTAAGGCCACTGATTGATCTTGGGCCTCTTGAATGAGAGGCGAACACGTACCTCTAGACCAAGAGAGGCCCCAAAGAAGGTTAATTGCGTTTTTAGTGTGTTTGAGTTTAAGATTAAGATCCTACTGAGTATAGATAATAAGTAATATTACTTTATAGTGGTGCCTACCTCTCCAACCTTCTGCCCGACCCCTCCCTCCCCCCACACCCCAGCTCCCTGAACATCAGAGCAAGGAACTGGGAACGCTGGTTTTTCACAGGAAGTGGGCAAAGAAAGAACCCTTTATGCTCGAACTTCCACCCTTCTCATCAGTTCAGTTTATATTAGAACACGAAAAGGTGAAACACAATAATGTTTGGAAGTCCTTCACTACTTAAGCAAGGACGTGTTGGGGAAAACGTTATCGACGTCTGTGGGGTAATCGTTAAGCTCTTCCCCCTTGCATGCATGAGAGTCGAGTTCCATTCCAGAGATGGGTGATATATTATCGAATATCCCGGTCTTTCTTGTATTCCTCTTAGCCGGAGTTGGCCCTGCACAAACAGGCGTGCGAGGTTGAGCCCTGCTTTCTACATGATCTAAATTGTATCGATAGGGGCGTAAAAACACCTGTATTTAGATTAAGTAAATAAAACACTTATTCAGCTTTATTCTACGCATATATGCACTTCCTTTCTAGTTATTTGTAACATTATTTGATGTGTCAGATAGATAAGGGAGGGAATGGTGTTTCTGTGTGTGTGTGTGTGTGGGGGGGGGGTCTTCTTTATGGGGTCAAAGTAGAAAGAGGGGGGGGGGGAGGAGTTCTGTAAGGATCTGTTACACTGTATTTCCTAAATCGGAGAACTCAGCCCAATGATCGGAAGTAAAGGACTTTCAAAATGAAAAAAAAAAATTATTATAAAACGCCTACCTAGGCTTTTTTTTAGAAATCTGAGGGTTTGCATCCCGTTTTAAAGTGCAGTATGTCATGTCTTAAGGGTTTTACATACTATTGGGGACAGTTAAAATGTATGGCCTGCAAGTACGCTGCTGAGACCAAGCGCATTAACTGTTCTGAGAATGGAACCACAGTATAGAGAGCCTGATTTAAGATTATGCACATGTACTGACTTATCTTGGTGACCCCCACCCAACCTTACCTTACATGAAACTACCTTGAGTAAGAGTTAAAGAATAACAAAATTTAAGCTGGATAGGCTTAAATATATGTCCCACTTTACATAGCTTTTATTAACTTAGGTAAAACCTGAATAAAGGTGAATATGATGATGATGGTGATAACAAAGATAATAATAATAAAACAATAGTAGTAGTGAAATAATAATGTTATACTAATAATAATAACAACAATAAAATAACAATAATAACAATAGCAACAAATTATTATTATTATTATTATTATTATTATTATTATTATTATCTAGTATTATTATTATAATTATTATTATTGTATTAATACTATTGATAATATTAATAATACTGATAATATTAATAATACTGATACTAATGACAATGATAATGATAATAAAAATAATAATAATATGCCAGTGCTATAAATAATTTTTACTCGAACTTGAAAGTTCACCAGGACAAGATATGAATGAATAAAAATCATTCTATAGAAAGCAGATGCCTGCACATGCCAAAACTCACTGAAATAGTTCATGATGAGAAGTGACCGATCTGGCTCCGTCTATTTATCTCCTCCTGCACTTACGTGAACCGTTGTGAAAAAATGTGAAACGAGTAAGAGGTATTTATACTACTATCACCACGGTCATTTGAGTAAAGGTGTCCCTTGGCTATCGCGCAGACATGTATTATTGCAGACCTCGATATTTTTGTTGATAACCCACCTGTTTATTATAATTAGATCTGCTTACAAGCCCATGTTTGAGGCAAAATTACGGTAGTAAATTCTACTGCGTGTTGTATAAAAAACAGATAAATTACATCTGTCTCGTGATGCGTAAAACGCGCCAGACTGTTTGTCTCAGAGTTTCATTAAACTAAAAATTAGTATTCATATGAGCCTTTGATAGATCTAACCTACGTATCGATTATTCAAACGTTTTCAAACGCGGGTTTTTTGCTGATCTCAGCAAAATATTATGCAAATATTTTCCTGACAAAGAAATTTGGGAAAATGTTTAAAGTTTCAAACACTTAGCAGCACTTTCACACCGGCTTTGGTTTGCTGAGAAAAATGAGAAAATATCGCACCTCTGAAGATATTCGGATTAATTTTTTTTTCAGCACAGAGCTAGAGTTGCTCTTTAAAAAGTTATATAGCGCTGTATGTATGCATCTGAATATAAAATCATTATTTTTTGTTGTCTTTCTTGTCTTAGATACTATAATATGTAGCAACAGCACACTTGATAAAAACAACTATTGTTGAAGGTTTTAAAGTGTCTTGGAGCTTGAAGCCGTAAAGGAACATTCTGTATTTTTTAAAAATTGACGTACATTATATTCCAAACTCTACTGAAGACCTACGGTAATGGTTGGTCTTGGTACAGTTTTTAAGCATTATGGACTCATCGGCGATGGGAAGGTGTTTTAGAACATTTGGGATGTCGGTTGTTTCAATCCTGACTGTCAGGATTCAAAAGGATACAATATTCATATAGACAGAGGTACCTGGAAAAAAGCCTCCCCAAGGGCAAGAATCAAACCCACATCTTTTACAAGCATCAACAAAGGGCCGAACCTGTATACTACAGACGCCGGTTACACGCCGAAGTTAACAATGATGCTTTGTTTGTATTTTCTGGAAGGACATTATAATTTATGTAGGTGGTTGGCGGGTGCTCTGGTGTGGTCTGCTCCTTCTTTCCTATCAAACATCTATCAACCTTATCCCTCCTTTTTTTGTGTTACTCTCTTGTAACACCTATAATTTTCGGCACTTATATGACCTTATTGTGTTCCAAGTGCCGTGAAACACTTACTAAAACAAACAAGGACATTATATTTCCACGATGGTGTGAGCAGAGAGCATAAATAATATAATATACAGATGAACAATGAAAACTAAAACAAAGGAAGAATGTGGGGAACATGGCTGCGAGACAAGTAGGAGGCTGAAATAAAAAGACCGGATATAATGAAAGCGATCTCTACTTTAAATTTATCAGTACTTAATCCTACATAATTTTCATTTTTCTTTTGCCCTCTTGCACAGCAAGGTGTTGAAGGGGTGATGTAATTATTGGACGTTGGCCGGGTGTGTTGTCTTTCGGATCGTCGTATCATGGTACCTTTGAAGGGATTCGTTTACTCCATCGATCCATCTTTTTCCTCGTCTTCCCTCTGCCTTGAATCCGTCAAATTTCATCGCAAGCCTTTGAGGCTGGCTGTTGTGGTCACATTCTCACTTAATTATTTATCAATATTAATTTGTTTGTTTA